CAAACCTTTGGACATATAGTGTATGTATAAAATACCACTTATAAGCTGTCATAATCAAGCTTAAAAATACTTTTTGGATATTTCAAATATATCCAATATCCATTCAAATAATCTCCTTATATTGCCTCTTCTTAAAAGTGAGTGCGCGCAGTGCAGTGACATTTTTGAACTGACATATGATGCTATATTTGCAATCAATACTGCTGTCGTACAGCCATCTTTCCCTTTCATCTCGCCTTGTACACACCTGCATGACAGCTTGTGACTACATTTGGAGCTACAGCTATTCTGTCCTCCAAAGCTGGTGATAGACTCCTATCAACTCCTATATAGTTTTAGCTGTGGTGAGTGTAATTTCATACTTTTTGGAGCCAGCTCACGAGTCTGTGGTTTCTAGCTTTGGGTTCTGTCATTAGCTTGCTCATTAACTTATCACAACCTTTGTGAAGGGAGCAATGCACCTTTGTCTGCCATGTTCCCCCAAGGGCCCAGCACAGGATTTCAAATCTCACCTTATCAACTGACCTCATTCAGCATTCCATGAAGGTGAACCTATAGAGTATTTTTGTTATGCCCAGTACATGCTCTACAATACTATTTGGACTGGATTGTGTCGATTCAACCATCAGATGAACTGTTCCATCACAGATACACAGATACCAGGTGATGGACACATTCCAAAAAAAAAAAAGGTTATGAGTTTTTTTTTTTTTTTTTTTTTTTAACTAAATGCAAATTGCCTGCAAAGTGCCTGGTGCATAAGCAGCAGTTTGATAAGATTCACCTCTGCCTTTATTCTGATGCACATTTATGAACTAGCATTGGCATTTTACAATGATGTTGAAATGACAGCCAGTAGCTATTCAGTTTTACAACAGTGATGTGTCAAATGTAAGGAGAGCCCAAACTATACCCCACACAAATACTTTACAGAAACCCACATAAAGCAAGATTCATTGTATGCATGTTTACTGTAATTGTTATTTTTGTATTTTGTGGATTCTTGCCAAAACAACCATAGTGTAGCAGTTAATTTGAAGGCACTGTATATGTAGAACTTTGTGCATTTCCCTGTAGAAGAGACTTTATATATCCAATTCAAAGCACTGATCATTACATGAAAAGCTGGAACACTAAAGATTGATTTGTAAATCACATTTAAAAACTGATTATTGAGGCTAAATCACTATGCACTTTTAACATCATTGGTCTGAAACTGGCCTTTACTTTCTCATTTTCTTCATTTGCTTCATTATCTAAAAAGTCCTTGGTTCCACTAAACTATTTCTTATGTTCCTCAGCTCCACCTCAGACTGTACTATTTTGTAGCCCAATAAAGCCAAAGTATCATTACATAGTGTCTGCACTGTCTTAACAATGTCAAAGCCCAGATGCAGTCTCCAGCTCTCTGGTGTGGTTTTGGAGTCTCTGCTGGTGGAGTACTTTGAGGAAGTGGAGGAAGTGACATGGGTGTTTTGAGATATCCAGGTAAGAACTTTATTGTCTATATCCAAATCCAGGAATTTGTAGATCTCCTTGGCCTTGGCTTCAGGTTCAAGTGCTAGATCCTCATAGCGCACTAGTAGATACCTTCCACGCAGCCAGGCTGGCTTCTTCAGACCAATATCCACAGAGTCCACCATGTCTTGGCACGTTCTCGTAATCTGTGTCAAGTCTACATAATGTGGTTGCCTGTCTGTGGCATTCCAGATCTTCCAGGCAATGAACTGATCAGTGAATGCAGTTATGCGTGATGCCAAGATTGCTCTGGGGTCTCTCACCAGGTGAATAATCCTGAGGTCTAATCGTGGGTCTTCAGTTAGGAGGCGAAGGTCACTGACCTGAGGGATCCGTACCGTCTTGATGGACACGTGGCTTCTGGACTGGCAAGCCATGGAGGCTAAGGTGAGGTTTAGGATTCGACACTTTTTGTGACACCAGCTCTCATCTGGCTGCCCTTCCATAATCTCCTTATCACCCTCTTGGCAGACGGGTGGTGAGCAGAGAGCATGGCTGGAGGTCTGACGGAAGAAAGAAGCTGTCAGGTGATCTTGAGGCTCTGGCTGGATGTAGTTCTCCAGGGAATTAAGGTCACAGGTATATAGGCTGAAGAGGAGGTCCCTGTAGACAGCCTGCACAACTCTGTCCATGGGCTTCCAGAGACACTTGGTGTAGTTGCAGAAGGTCTGTTGTGCATGGTAAAGTGGCTCATACATATAAAAGATAGCTGGGTGTTGGTTAAACAGCTGGCCAGCGAAGGAGGATCCGCTGCGAGTTTGTGAAAAAAGATGGATGTGCTTCCGAGCAGAGACAGTGGTATGCTTTGTGGGAACAGAGTTGTTGTTGTAGGAGGATTTCCAGCTGTGAGCTGGGAATAAAAAAGCAGACAGATAGATTCTATGAGCTTATGGGCCACACTGAGAAGAATATAATTTATAAGAAATCAATTACATATATTACATCTTTGTGGCACAGCCTTTGCTCCCTCACAGATCCAGGGTACCTGGATTCAATCCTAATCTCAGGGCAGTGGTAGCTCAATGGTTAAGGCATTTGGCTACTGATTAGAAGACTGTAAGTTCAAAACCCAGCACTGCCAAGCTATCACTAAGCCCTTGAGCAAAACCATTAACATGTCTGTGTGGGTTTTACTCCAACCTCCCAAAAATGTACAGTGCATGGTGCCCTGTGATGGACTGGCATCCCGTACGTGGTGTATTACTCCCTTGTACCCTTTTTCCTGGGATAGGCTCCGAATCTACTGCAACCCTGACCAGGACAAAGTGGTTACTGAAGACGAATGAATGAATGAATGAATGAGTAAGACACTGACTATTCTTCCCACCCACTGACAAACCAAACAGTCTATTCATATCATAACCTACATGTCAAACATAGTGCCTAAAACTACAGCACTGAAGATGCTGTGGCTCACCTTTCTCAGGGCATTTCTGGCATTGCCTGGAGTCCTGGCATGGTCTAGGGAACAAATCCTCAATGGAGCGGATGGCTGTGTACTGCACCACCAGACAAAGGCATACCAGAAACAGCACTACTTTCCTTGAACACTTCATGGTGGTCTGCTGCTCTTCCATTCTCGTCTGTCAGAGAGGACGCACACACACAAAGGACACTCCGTTACTGCAATGCCTACTTTGCCTAACCTTTACAGCCTCCTGTTTCTGCTCTCTCATAAACCGTTTTTAAAAGATTAGATTAATCTACACCGGCATTATAACAATTTCATCTTCAGTGAATCTGCATGGGCTTCTGCTCTTTTATTTTTTTTAAAAAGTGCAGACAAATGTGATTAAATGCTGACATTAACGGCACCAGCCAAAGATCTGGAAGGTGGTGAGAAGGAGGAGCTAGAGACTTTAATTTCCATGAGCACACCAAAAAAGCTGAGTTTCTTTCTTTTGACAAAATAGGCAGAACCACAGCAAGCAAGCAAGCAACCAAAAAAAAA